TGCTGGCAGCCCCGCGGCGAGAGAGCACCCACAGGAGAGCTGGTAAAAGGGGGCGCGGAGGGGAAGAAGCGTTAAGCGAAAACAAGGATACGGGGGAAAAAAAAAAACGTTAAAATGAGAGAGAAAGAAAAGGATCAGAAGAGGAGAAGTTGGCAGAGACCGTGTGTCGGTTTGAAAAGCTGGCACCTTCCAAACGGAGCGGCAGCTCCGGGTGCCAAATGCTGCCAACCAGCCCCACTAGCCTGAATATATGCCCTCCCTCTGCCTTTGTTGTCGGCATGGCATTTTGCATTATCTTCATTCTATGCTTTTCTTTTTACTTTATATCAGGGCTGGGTATCATTCTAACAGCTCCGAGTGACGTTTATTCCCGGCGCGCAAGAAAAATTGATGAAGCTTTTATTCGGCTCCGCATTCACGTGTTAGGGGGGTTTTCGTGGCGGTGATTCTGTGCTCGAGTTTTAAAATGCAGACCCGCCAACTGGAGCCGTTCTGGGCACGGAGCGAGCCGTCCCATTTACTGGGCTCCTCCGGACGGCGGGAACGAGAGCCGATCGGAGTCTAGCGGCTGGGGAACGGCTCGGGGAAAAAAGACGCGCTCCTCTTTCCTCCTTCCTCTCTGCTCCTCGCCTCTCCTCCTGCTCTCTGCCCCTCGGCCCTGGCGGCTCAAAAGCCAAGCTGCCCCTCCTGTGTGGGGACACGTATGTTTTGAGCGGACAGGCAGATTTCAGGCCTGGCGCCCGTACAGAGGACGGGTTGTGTAAATTTGTGGGAGTGAAATCAAACAGTGCTGGAGACTAAGAACAATACAGAGGAAGAGAAACTACATGTTGAAAATGTTAAAAAATTCACACCAGAACATCTTATTTATCTGGTGTGATAAATATATTTAATTTGCTGTGTTATTACTATATATTCCTAATACATTTCTGTTTATTATTTTTTAAGTAAATTCAAAAGCCCTACAACATTAATTTATTAATCTTAATTGCACAAATAATTAAAAATCACTGTACAGTGAAATTAGGAAATAAAGCTGGTCCATGTTGCCTACATAAAGCATTTTCTGCTACAAAGAATTTTTCTATTTGTGAAGCTAAGACCCGTCTTTCTCTTTAAAATAACAACAACAACCACAAAAAAAGGGGCATAATTCAATCCTGCTCTCTGTCTTTTGTGCAAATTTTTCAGTATTATTCACTAAACTGGATAATTAATGAATATGAAACAGGCTGGCTCTTTACCAAACCCTGGTCTAAAGAGGTGGAGGAGAGCGAGGAGCGAGCGGTCAAAGGAGGTCAGGGGATCAGACCGAGCCGGAGCGGAACCATGTATTTTTTCATCATTTGGACGCACACTTGCTCTGGAATAATCTGTTTACCAGCAATTCCTTACACTCCACGCACCCCGCGCCTCCCTTTTTCTTTGGCTTGTGTGTGTGTGTGAGTGAGTGTGTGTGTGTTGCTCACTCATTTTAACACACCGTGATCTCACGGCAGCCATCCCGCCATCAGACACTCAAACTTTATAGGGCACGCTTATTTCAAATGACAACAGCGCACAAGACAGTTTCCGCTGAAAGCTCTGAACAATCAGTGTCCCCCCCCCCACCCTCCCTCCCCACACACACCCGTTAAATGCGGCTCTCACGGTGCCGACACTCTCCGTTTCTCTGCCGGCCAGAACACTGGAGCACGGGTCTGCCCTCCGTCCAGAAGAGCCTCTGCTCTGAGCAACACAATCGCTGGAGAAAAAACGCAGGCTGGCTGGGGTCGAGAGGGGGCTTTTTTTTTTTTTCCCCCACCGCTTTTAATCACTGTTGCTCTCTTTTTTCCTTCTTTTCCAAAGAGAAAACACACACACACACACACGACAGCATGACCATAGTGTACAATGTCCGCTGGTCCAGCCTCTTTACACGTTACCAAATGAGGCAGAAATAATGTAGCGGTCTCAAATCTTACTGGGAAACTAAATCAAACTACACAAACCTTACTCTGCTGTGTTTGGTCTCATCATTTGCAACCATGCATCTGATAATGGAGCATCCTTTTAAAGCTCAGGATATTGGGCAAAGCAGATAAGGTGCGGCTGCTGGAGTAAGGCCGGGTGCAGTCTATCAGTGTATCTGTGCCTGCCTCCGTTTGTCTCTTTTAAAAAGGATTCTCTCGGTCGTTTGTAACGCGGGGACGACACACTGATGGGTAAATGAACATCTGAGCTCTGCCGTGGCACCGTGGCAGCATGGAGACGCGGCGCTGTCTGGCACGCGCACGCTCTTGGCTTTCGGACCTGGCTCAGGCACCTCTCTGCTCCGTCTGTCTCCAGCGTGGAGAACAAATATTGAGGCTGCGCTCTCAGAAACATCTTTTTATCATAACAGCGCAAGTAATGAAAGCCGTATGAGGCGGCTCGCGCTCCAAACATGACTAATGCTGGAGCCGTGCGGCCGTGCCGGGGCCAGCAAACGTGGAACTTTGAGGAGTGCGACCTGAGCCGGGCACATTTGGGTGGGGGAGGGGGGGCCTGGGCCGAGCCAGACCCTGGTTTGGTTAAGTGTGATCAGAGGCGAGACCGGGAATGTCTCCTCGATATCCCCAAACCATTATTCTCATCACAGGGAGCGGCCGAGTCAGTGAGGGGAAAACCAAGTACATTTTGGGACCGACTCGGATCAATCTGTGGCCGTACTCGTGTGTGTGTGTGTGTGTGTGTGTGTGTGTGTGTGTGTAACCAGGTACTTTCAAAAGAGAATGACCACACTTGTTTTGGTAGGGGAACCTTGCTCTGCAGCTGCGGTGCAGAAGTGCGGCAGCTTTGATGTGTCCCTGCTGTCAGAGCCCCGTCTGGAGGGGGCCCGAGTCTATAATTGGACAAAAGCAGAGATGCACGCTTTGCAGAGGACGGGGGGGTGGAGGTAGGTGGAGGTAGGTGCGCGTCTGTGTGCGTTGGGGAGGTGCATCTCCCCTTCGGTCCATCACTGAAAGCAGAGCTGGCGACAGTGACATCAGCGGGGACAAGGGGGCTAAAACGCAGCGGCGGGGACAGGCTGCCGTCCAATCACCAGGCCTGGCAGCCGCCGGTTTCCGCAAGACACAGACACCCTGGAATGGGGGAGCTAAGAATAAAACTGTAACGCTGCCACCCGAAAGGTTAGAGTGGAGCCACTGTCTGCATGTCCTTTGTGAACTCTGGTTAACCCCCGGCATGTCTCGTGGAGAGAAAAAAAAAAGAGCAGTTTACTAAAATGGATTTTTGTTTGTTTGTTTTTTCTCCGTCTTGAAAAAAAAAAAATAAATCCCACACATTTCCTGCTCTATCTTTTCCTGCTCTGCTCAGGGAGCGTGCACAAGGTGCTGCTCGCGTGGATAAGCTGAGCCGGATCAGGACAGGAAAGCCTCCCCCTTTAAAAAAAAAAAAAAGAGAGAGAGGGAGGGAGAATTTGTACAGAATGGAAGGATGTGCGCCAGTCGTCGTCTGAAGGCAGCTAAACTGAGGCTTATTTTTAGACGTCCATTTATGTGCGAAAAAGACATCAAATTAGAAGCAAGGTTACCCCGAGTGGCTGTCAGATTCTGCCAGAGAGTTTGAGAGTGGAAAAAAAGGAAAAAAGTAAAAGGGTTGAGGGGTGAGGGGGGGGCTTTATTCTGAGGGGGCAGCAGGCTGCGCTGGGAGCTAATCTGAGCGGCGCTTCGCCACAGCACATTGTGAAACAGGAAGAGGCGCTCGCGAAGGCCCCGCAAACTCAAGCCGAGTTACACACTGGCCTGAAAGGAGCCTGGCATGGGGGACCCTGTGACAGAGGAGCTCTGCACCTCCATGCCAAGGGGAAGAATTAATGCCCCAGCGTGAGAAGGCGGGACAACACTAACGGGCCGAAGACGGGGCTTTTTTACTCTGGACTCAGAGTGGTTCGGATCGGAGGAGGGACGGAACACTCGGGCGCATTACATAACTTCGTGAAAGGCAGAGAGTGGCGGCCTTTAAATCTTTTGGCAGCACATTTTTTTGGCGTCTACGAGTAGTTTTATCGGCTCACTGCAACACCTGCAAAACCACTTTCAAGTTCAGGTTAAATTGAAAACTTTTTAAAACAGAAACGCGAACTCGGGTCAAAATTATTTTGAATTTTTTCCATTTGGAAAGAAAATTAAGCTTCAGCGGATGTGGGTCATTAAGACAACCTCGGTAATGACTTAGAATTAATACGCAAAGATTTTTAATAGTCTATAAGGCATCGATAAATATAATAATGCTCTTGTGTTTTCATAATAATTGTCACAAAGCGCTGAGAAATCATTCCAATAATTTTACCGTGAAGCTTTTAGTGTTGTTCCTGAGTTCATTCACCATTTTGAATCTGTAAAATTGGGTGTGAATAATCCATCAATCACATTTCACAGAGCTGATCGATGTGAGTTTGTTTATTCCACTCAGTTGGTTTCCCCAATTTGGGAAAGATGTGGCGAATTTGTGAAAATAAAACATTTCACGTCCGCAAAACAGCGAGACGGGTGGCGAACTGGGCTGCTCGGGTGTGAGCGAACCCTCCTGCCTTTGAGTGTGTCCACTTCTGAATGTTGGTGGTGTGTGTGTGTGTGTGTGTGTGTGTGTGTGGAGAGCAGCGATAGGCTGACAGACAGACTGACTCTCCCTGCCTCCTAAACTACCTGGGCCCAGGCCAGCTGTCACCGTGCTCTCCAGACCACCACACACACTCACACACACACAAAAGAACACGCAGTTTCACGCCGTGCGGCCACTGCCGCGCACCAGTCTCACAGTGCACGTACACAAGGATTACAGGCACGCGACAAGCTGCTTCTCGCGCGCACTCAAACGCACACACACACAGATAAACAGGTTTGCAGATGCTTTTGTTTACCGATGGCACCACGAAACATGCACGTTTGGATTTAGGCAAATTTGTACACAAATGCTTGGGCAAATGCACCAACGCAAACATATCTCTTAGCAAACACGAGTTTTAAGCCTGACTGTCAAATTCTGGGAATCTCTTCAAACCTGATAGAAACATCTATGGCAAACTCTTTTTTTTTTTTTTTTTTTCTTTGTGGTCTGGGATGGGGTGTTAGGGGGTTGGAGGGGGGGCTGTCCCCTTTAAATGCCAAGGCACGGTCCTTATCTGGGCCCCGACTGGCTTTGTAAAAGCTTGGCAGGGCTACACAGAGCAGGTCTGGTGCGCGAGCGGCTCCCTGAGCGGTGCGCGGGTGCCACGTACCTGGTGTGTGGACGAAGTAGGCAAGGTAGAGATCCAGCTCCTTGACCGTCACCCCGATGTGGTGCGGCTGGACGCAGAGACCGTGGTTGGAGCACTGGGGCGACTTGACCAGCCGCTCGCCGTCCGTGCTCTCCAGGGGGCTGCCCTTAAACAGGATGACCATGACCAGGTCCAGCCTCCACACCTTGTCGGCCTGGCGGAGGCAGTCGATGCGGCGGATCTTGCCCTTCTGGTCGGGGTTGGACAGCACGCAGCAGGGGGGCTTCTTCCCCGTGATGGTGAGCACAAAGTCCTCGCGGAACTCTGGCCGGATGTCCTTGCGCAGCTTGGCCAGCAGGCGCGAGGCCCACTTCTGCTTGATCTCTGGCTTCTCCCCCAGCAGCTCGTCCTTCACCGCGCGCTCCTCGTCTTTAGTCATCCTCTTTTCGTGCTTCTTGAAGTACTTGCGCTTGCGGGCCTGCAGGTTGAACCAGGTGTAGGAGAAGGCACGGACATGGGGGAGGAGGGCCTCAATGAAGGGATGAAATTCATCCTGGTGAGAGAGGGGAAAAGAGATGTTAAAAAAATTTAAATAAAAAAAGGTTCATTCCTTTAAAAGAAATAAACATTTAAAAAAATAAAAAAGGAAACATATTTAAAAAGTGAAAACAGTGATGTAATTTTCTGCACATCAAAATGGTTCAGTGAACAGAAATCCTAAAAAACGCACGTTAAAAAACAACATTGTGTTTCTGTTAGATTTAAAAGCATGCAAACATGCAGCCACACAAAAAGATATCAAATTAAAAACGTTTAATGTAAAGCAATTCACCAAAAATATTTTTTTTTTTTAAAGGAAAAGGTCAAAAACACCAGAGCGATTTCAAAAAGCATCCAAAGGCAAACGAAACACTGAGCCAAGTCGAGCTCCCGGTTTTTCTGCCGCGAAAAAAAGAGGCAAGTTATTCTGCTGCACCATAATACCTTCACCACATATCTCTGGGCAACAAAGCCCAGATCCCGCCACAGCGTTCCTGTGCCAGGGTTGCCACACATTGGTCGCTCGCCACCGCCGCCAAGCTTTGCCGCCACTAGACCACTGTTGAAATGTGCTGCTAAAAGATCAGCCATACCATCTCCCTATCTCAGCTACCATGCGAGTGGAGCTCCAACCAGACTCACATTTCCACAACAAACTGAAAGCAGACACAAATCACCACAGAAAACCACACTGCAAAGAGGAAGACAGACGGCCTGGTAGTTACCATTTTGCACTCTCATCATAAATTTGGCACGGCGTTAAGAGTGAAAAAAAGAAGAAGAAAAAAATCTCCTGCACCAGTTTTTTTTTTTCCCCCCTCGCGCTCCCCAATGTAAAGCGGGTGCTGGTTTGGCAGGTTGAGGAGAATTAGCAGATGAAAAAAAAAAAGGGAGAAAAAAAAAAGACAAGAAAAAAAAAAACTTGGATGGGGGTAGAGGGTGTAAAAAATAATTAGCAGAACACGCTGCTCACTAAAAACAGTGGGCCAAAGTTTAAAACCAAAACAGGGAAAGCCCAAGACTTTAGTTCACTGCAGTTCTTCAGAAAAAGTGAACAGTGACGAGAAAAAAAATTGCCGCTTAAAATGTTTTTTTTATCAGACTAAAAATACTGACAGTTCTGCGCAATATTAAAAAAAGAAGGGGAAAAAAAGGGGAAAGTGGCATTCGAGTGCCTTTAAATAAAATTTTAAAAAGTCCATGCTACGCAACAAAATTGAAAAATTGAATCTTGGAAGAGAAAAGAAAAAATCCTTGGCAAAGTGTAATTAGTAGTGGTGTCTGTTCTGATCCCTGGGCCCGGCACAAGACTCACACTTACACGCGCGCACACTCACAAACACACACAGATGGGGGGGCAGGCAGAGCAGAGCACAGAATAGGAGGGAGGGAAAGAGAAAAAAAAAAAAAATAGAGAGCCGAATCAATGTTGGACGAGCGCATACGACCGCTGGCAAAGCCGAGTGCTGCTTCTTTTTTCCCCCCTTTTCTCTCCAACTCTCTCTCTTTCTCTTTCTGTTTTCTCGCTGGCCGTCTCTCGTCCTCTCCGCGTTCTTTCCCTAACCATTGCTTGAGCCTCTGCCAGCGAAAGTAGGGCCCACCTATTTGGCACCGAGACGCCTGTAGCCCAGCCAATGCGTTCGCTTCAAGAGCTGAAAAGGGAGGGTAAAAGAGAAAGAGGAGAGGGTTGGGAGGGGATGGAGGAGGGTGGTGGGGAGGAGAGGGGGGGGGGGTGTAGTGGCAGGGATGGAGGTATAGAGAGAGAGAGGGTGATGGTAGAGCAGGTGGGGGTGCGAGGGTGCGCGCAGCCTCGTCCGACGCCGCGCAATTTTGCCAAAAATCGACAAGCTCCGCCCTGACACGGGAGGCAAAGTTCAGGGGAGCGTGCCTTCTCCTCCACAGCCCTCGGCCGGCCACCATCTTTACTGTGGTCATCGACGCCACTCCGTCTCCCTCAGACGCCCCCCCCCATCCCAGCCCACTCCTCTGCCTCTCTACCCTCTCTCCCCCGCTTGCATAATGCCACCTTGGCAGAGGATGGCAGAGGGAGGACGCACAGCTTCGGAGTCCCTCCAGACCCCGCCACCGGCAGCTGCTCGCGGGTTTTACCACAGCAAACAAAGAGGGAGAGGCAAACCCCCGGCTGCCACACTGCCGCACGCAGGAGCGAATGACGGGGAGGGGGTGTGTGGGGGGGGGGGGATGATTTAGAGAGCACCAACACTGGCATGAATTAGCGGGAGGTTTCGGGGCGGGCGGTGGAAGGAAGGAAGCGGGCAGAAGCGGCAGCATTCCCCTCGGCCGTCTCAAACGCCACAGCCACAGCAGATAAATGGTCAGCAAAGAGCACCAGGAGCCCGCCGAAAGCCTGAATTTTGGCTCGGGAATCTCCCACGGTGAGGTCGCGTCACTCTAGGCTGCCGGATCGCAGACCTGCAGAAAAAAAAGGGTTGGGACCCCCTAGACAGAACTGACCGTCCCAGAGAGACGTGTCTCTCCCAAATCTGTGGACACTACACCTTCAAAGTACGGGCCAGACACTCCCGTGGTCAGACACTGCCAACGCAAATGTGTTTCACAAAAGTGAAAAGGTTTGTTTGGGAGAGGAAACTCATTATTTTCTAATCATTTACAGACATAATTTTCAGGATGTGGTTTCAGGAGCACTTTGTGTACATTACTGGAAATAAACGTGTTATACATTTTTTTAAAGAAAGTCATTTCTGCTGTAGGTGAGCTAAAAAAAAAAAAAGTCTCCATGTTAGAATGATGGAGATAATTAAAGTCTTTTAATTAAACAAAAAGAAAGAAAGACAGAAAAGGGTAACGCATGCCAACAGGAAAGGCACGCAAACTGTCAAACTCCCACAATGCCATCTTTGTGTCACTGATAACCATCCCGGCCTCCTCGCCGCGAACAGCAGCCCAACGAAACGCTGCCTCTGGCCCATCATCCGAGGGCCAGCACACCTCCACGTCCATCCATCCCGGCCTCTTTGTCCGGCACTGGCCCCCCCCGATGTAGGGCCAGATAACGCCACAAAAGGAGCCTGGCAGCAACCACAAATGTCATGGCGGGCGTGGGAGTGAAACATACATTTGTCTTTTTGTCTTTTTGCCCGCACCTGCACAAAACTTAGGGTGACAAGAAAAAGATAACTGGCACTTGAATGTGATTTCCTGCGTCGGCTGCTTTTCGACGTGAATTAAAGCCTGCCGGGATGACCCTGCCAACATGCAAATAAACCACCATTCACACGTCAGTAGAATTTGACTTCAAGGAGGTTTAAGTCATTTTCCATTGCTAAGCTTTTCGTCTTCTACGGGCTGAGAGTCACATATTTATTTCGCCGGAATAACTGCTTTCTTTAAAACAGCCAAATCTGGAGGGAGGGGGGAAAAAAAACTATTATCTAAGACGGGCAGATTTGCATGTCTGTGCTATCTGCTGCACCACACTGGGCCCAACTTGTACCGTTCTCGCCTTTTCGTGTTGAAATATAGGCTATACGCTCATTTGGGTTGTCGAACCGGCATAAAGCCATCACGGAAGGCGGCTCTCGGATAATCTCCTTACCTGGAAATTAAATTAATTCGAATTCGCTTGGCCTTTAGCTTTAATTCGGGCTTATTGTCAATTAGCAATCGAAGCCGTTTCCTGCGTGAAATTTCTAGAAGCTGCGCGAGACTTTGACGTTCCTCACACTAGCTTAAAAAAAGATGCATTCACTGACAACACACTGTATTGTGGGTCGAATGTAAAGCTTGGCAACTATCAAACTAGCTCAATTGATAAACAGATACATGAGTAAATATCCGGAAATTCTGTTTAATTGGCTTCTTCCCAAACAACACCGGCCTTCGTTTCTAAAACCAACCTGAGATCAATGCAAATGCGCCATCATTTCCCCTCTTCTTCATCGTTTTTCCACATAAGGCATTTTAAAAAATGACCATTCTGAGAAACGGTTGTTTCGTTTGAAAAGCGTAACAAACGACACATTTGTCGAAAAATAATCAAATAACCTGACAACAATTTATATCGACGTATTAGACAGCCAATCAGATTCAACTGTGTTCAACACAATTGAGAATCCTGACTGCTATTTTTTTCCTAACTATTAAAAAAAAAACATTAGATCAAATTGAATCTAAAATCTAGACTAACTCTAAATTTATAATCCTTTAGGGAATTTGTGAATAAAGAACGTATTGCCATCTATGGAGGCTGCTTCTGTGGAAATCCCTACAGACGCCCCAAACCTTTTTCCTCGCCGCATCGTGCTCAGTTTTATTTCCAAATATTTTCTGCAGAGAAGCTGCAGCTCGAACAAAAACCCCAAAAAACAACAACAACAACGCACGATTTTTAAGTCGCGTATTTTGCTATTCTCTGCACGTCTGACCGAGACTGAGAGGTGTAGGCTGCCAACTTCAGATTAACTCTTTCAGTGTGGGAGAAGAGGCTCTGGCCGTGGGGGGGGGTGAGAGGTTTTCTATCCATCCTAATCAAATTGAGTTTGTCATTATTTTTTATTTTTTCAGGAGTGACTTTCATAATATATCAATTTCTGAGAGCCACTGGTTCATTTGAAATTTTTGTGGTTCAATACCTAAAAAAAATCAAGAAAATTGTGTTAATTTTTGGGGGGTGGGTGGGGTATCTGGAAATAAATTGTTTTATGAATCAGTTGATATGTATAAATTCAATAAATTAAGTTGCAGGCCTGGCTCACGTTACCTTTTTTTTTTATAAAAAAAGAATTTGTGACTTAAAGTGACATATCAATTAGAAGTATCATTTCTAGTTTTCTAGCTCAGCCAGCCTTGTTTGGCTTTCCGAGAAATCACTGATTCGCATTTGCGCCAAAGTGTAAATCCTCAAGCCAAACAATCAAAACTCTGGCAAACAGAGGAGCTCTTTTTTTTCTCTTTTTTCTTTTGTATTACAATAAATCCCTGGAACGTTTTCTGTTCCAACACCTATTACATTGAGCATGACATCACATTACTTTCCCTTAAGAAAACTGCGAAGCAAATAAATAAATAAAACAAAAAAAGTAAGGAAAACTTTCTGCCTCTTTTCTGACCCGCCAGCAGGCATCTCTGTCCTGTGGCGCCCGACCTGGCCGTGGCCGCGCGGCATCTCATTAGGCCAATTAGACCAACGGTCTGCATAACCCGAGGGCCACCCAGCTGCCGGGCCCTTCATTAGCGCGCCTCTGCGTCCTCTCCTGCCCAGCTGAGCGTCCCTGACCCCAGCGCGGAGCCCTTCTTCCCCCTCGCCCCGGCGCAGGCCGCTGTCTGAAAGCCAGGGCACCAGGAAGGTGGTGCGGGGATAAAGGGGGTCAGAGGTGTTAACGCGTAGGCCCGTGCCACTAAGGCCGAAACAGGGGGGATCTTTCAACGCTCGCATCTGGATTCTTCTAGTTTAGGATCTTTTATTGGTCTCGTACGGTTCCCTTACTCGGTGAAAGTTTGGTAGTTAAGTGCGGAACTTTATGAAAATGCAGACA